AGAGGTGCCGCCGTTGTTTGCCGGACGAGAGTTTCGCAAGCGTTGGTTTGCGCCTGGCCGTCGGGAAGACCGGGAAGACCGACGACCAGGCGCAGTTGGTGTCCGCGCCCCACCGTGCCGAGTGCGTCAACGATGGTGCATCAGGAAGCGAGGCGGAGTCAGCTAGTTCCGAACATTGCCAAGATTCACCGTGCTCCGGATCGTCTTTCCGTTAAAGCAGCGCTTGAAAATCGGCGCTGGCGGCCTGTAACAATGTTGAGGGAGTTGCATCGGAGAGCAAATGGATGCCGATTAAAAATGATCAACACTCACGTGTGGGTCTCTGTGTGGTGAGTCTGTGGGTCTCTGTGTGATGAGTCTGTGGGTCTCTGTGTGGTGAGTCTGTGGGTCTCCGTGTGGTGAGTCTGTGGGTCTCTGTGTGGTGAGTCTGTGGGTCTCTGTGTAGTGAGTCTGTGGGACTCTGTGTGATGAGTCTGTGGGTGTCTGTGTGGTGAGTCTGTGGGTGTCTCTGTGTGGTGAGTCTATGGGTCTCTGTGTGGTGAGTCTGTGGGTGTTTCTGTGTGGTGAGTCTGTGGGTCTCTGTGTGGTGAGTCTGTGGGTCTCTGTGTAGTGAGTCTGTGGGTCTCTGTGTGATGAGTCTGTGGGTCTCTCTGTGGTGAGTCTGTGGGTCTCTGTGAGGTGAGTCTGTGGGTCTCCGTGTGGTGAGTCTGTGGGTCTCTGTGTGATGAGTCTATGGGCTCTGTGTGATGAGTCTGTGGGTGTCTGTGTGGTGAGTCTGTGGGTGTCTCTGTGTGGTGAGTCTATGGGTCTCTGTGTGGTGAGTCTGTGGGTGTTTCTGTGTGGTGAGTCTGTGGGTCTCTGTGTGGTGAGTCTGTGGGTCTCTGTGTAGTGAGTCTGTGGGTCTCTGTGTGATGAGTCTGTGGGTCTCTCTGTGGTGAGTCTGTGGGTCTCTGTGAGGTGAGTCTGTGGGTCTCCGTGTGGTGAGTCTGTGGGTCTCTGTGTGATGAGTCTATGGGCTCTGTGTGGTGAGTCTGTGGGTCTCTGTGTGGTGAGTTTGTGGGTCTCTGCGTGGTGAGTCTGTGGGTCTCTCTGTGATGAGTCTGTGGGTCTCTGTGTGGTGAGTCTGTGGGTCTCTGTGTGATGAGTCTATGGGTCTCTGTGTGGTGAGTCTGTGGTTCTCTGTGTGATGAGTCTATGGGTCTCTGTGTGAGTCTGTAGGTCTCTGTGTGATGAGTCTGTGGGTCTCTGTGTAGTGAGTCTATGGGTCTGTGTGTGATGAGTCTGTGGGTCTCTGTATGGTGAGTCTGTGGGTCTCCGTGTGATGAGTCTGTGGGTCTCTGAGTGGTGAGTCTGTGGGTCTCTGTGTGGTGAGTCTATGGGTCTCTGTGTGGTGAGTCTGTAGGTCTCTGTGTGGTGAGTCTATGGGTCTCTGTGTGGTGAGTCTGTGGGTCTCTGTGTGGTGAGTCTGTGGGTCTCTGTGTGATGAGTCAATGGGTCTCTGTGTGATGAGTCTATGGGTCTCTGTGTGATGAGTCTGTGGGTCTCTGTGTGGTGAGTCTATGGGTCTCTGTGTGATGAGTCTGTGGATCTCTGTGTGGTGAGTCTATGGATCTCTGTGTGATGAGTCTGTGGGTCTCTGTGTGGTCAGTCTATGGGTGTCTGTGTGATGAGTCAATGGATCTCTGTGTGAGGCTATGGGTGTCTGTGATGAGTCTGTGTGAGTCTGTGGGAATCTGACACGGAGTGACACGGTGTGACACGGAGTGACACGGTGTGACACGGAGTGACACGGTGTGACACGGTGTGACACGGAGTGACACGGTGACACGGTGTGACACGGTGTGACACGCAGTGACATGGTGTGATACAGTGACACGGTGTGACACGGTGTGACACGGTGTGATAAGTGACACGGTGTGATACGGAGTGACACGGAGTGACACGGTGAGACACGGTGTGACACGGTGTGACAGGGAGTGACACAGAGTGACACGGTGTGACAAGGAGTGACACGGTGTGACACGGAGTGTTACGGAGTGACACGGTGTGACACGGAGTGACACGGAGTGACACGGAGTGACACGGTGTGACACGGTGTGACACGGAGTGACACGGAGTGACACGGTGTGACACGGTGTGACACAGAGTGACACGGAGTGACACGGAGTGACACGGAGTGACACGGTGTGACAGGGAGTGACAGGGAGTGACACGGTGTGACACGGTGACACGGAGTGACACGGAGTGTTACGGAGTGACACGGTGTGAGACGGTGTGACACGGTGTGACAAGGAGTGACACGGTGTGACACGGTGACACGGTGTGACACGGAGTGACACGGTGTGACACGGAGTGACACGGTGTGACACGGTGTGACACGGTGTGAGACGGTGTGACACGGTGTGACAAGGAGTGACACGGTGTGACACGGAGTGACACGGTGTGACACGGAGTGACACGGAGTGACACGGTGTGACACAGAGTGACAGGGAGTGACACGGAGTGACAGGGAGTGACACGGTGTGACACGGAGTGACACGGTGTGACACGGTGTGACACGGAGTGACAGGGAGTGACACGGAGTGACACGGTGTGACACGGTGTGACACGGTGTGACACGGTGTGACACGGTGACACGGTGTGACACGGAGTGACACGGTGTGACACGGTGAGACACGGAGTGACACGGTGTGACACGGAGTGACAGGGAGTGACACGGTGTGACACGGTGTGACACGGTGTGACACGGTGACACGGTGTGACACGGAGTGACACGGTGTGACACGGTGAGACACGGAGTGACACGGTGTGACACGGAGTGACAGGGAGTGACACGGTGTGACACGGTGTGACACGGTGTGACACGGAGTGTTACGGAGTGACACGGTGTGACACGGTGTGACACGGTGTGACACGGAGTGACACGGTGTGACACGGAGTGACACGGTGTGTTACAGTTCTTTGTCCTGTCATGGGTTGACGGCAGGTCCAACGAGATTCAAATTTGTGTTACTTCAAATTATTTATTAATTACCCGTCACGTATATACACGGAAATTCCTCGCTTAACACTGTACACACCACACTGTACAGCCCACGCTATACACACCACACTGTACACACCACACTACTAAATACAAAGATCCCCCAGGTAGCCTCTAAGCCTCTAAGGGGCAAGTGCTGTTAGCGAGTAGCAGCAGCTATGAACACACAAAGACAAAGATCCCCCAAGTAGCCTCTAGCAGGCTGTAGGGGCAAGTGCTGTTAGCGAGCAGCAGCTATGAAGGCTCCCGGCACTGTGGTACACGAGGGGGTGGGTGGCTACCAACACCACGCCCGGCCGCCTTTGTCTCTCCCTAGTGCTAGCGATGTCGACTACACAACGCACCAGGTACTCATTTGAGGCTGAGTCGACCTAGGGGAGGCCCAGGACCGGTTCAGATAATCGTCACCGGTGGTATTGGTGGCCGTGAGCGGGAATCGAACTCAGGTTCGTAGCGCAGTGCGCTAACCACTACACCCACCACTCCCCACTACTCCACACACACTACACACACACTACACTATACACTACACCATACACTACACACACGCTACACACACACTACACACACACTACATTATACACTACACTACACACTACACACACTACACTATACACTACACTACACAACACACTACACACACACTACATTATACACTACACTATACACTACACTATACACTACACTAGACACTACACTATACACACACTACACACACACTACACTATACACTACACTACACACTACACTATACACTACACTACACACTACACACACACTACACACACACTACACACACTACACTATACACTACACACACACACTACACTATACACTACACTAGTACACTATACACTACACTATACACTACACTATACACTACACACACACTACACTATACACTACACTATACACACACTACACTATACTATACACTACACTACACACTACGCTATACACTACACTATACACTACACTATACACTACACACACACTACACACACACTACACTATACACTACACTGTACACTACACACTACACTATACACTACACTACACACTACACTACACACTACACTACACACTACACTATACACTACACACACACTACACTATACACTACACTATACACTACACACTACACACACACACTACACTATACACTACACTATACACTACACACTACACACACACTACACTATACACTACATTAGTACACTATACACTACACACTACACTATACACTACACTATACACTACACACACACTACACTATACACTACACTATACACTACACTACACACACACTACACTATACACTACACTATACACTACACTACACACACACTACACTATACACTACGCTATACACTACACTATACACTACACACACACTACACTATACACTACACTACACACTACACTACACACTACACTATACACTACACTATACACTACACACACACACTACACTATACACTACACACACACTACACACACTACACTATACACTACACTATACACACTACACTACACTACACACTACACTATACACACTACACTACACACTACACTACACACTATACACTACACTATACACTACACACTACACACACACACTACACTATACACTACACACTATGCTATACACTACACACACACTACACACACACTACACACACACTACACTATACACTACATTAGTACACTATACACTACACACTACACTATACACTACACTATACACTACACACACACTACACTATACACTACACTATACACTACACTACACACACACACTACACTATACACTACACTATACACTACACACTACACTATACACTACACTACACACACACTACACACACTACACACACTACACTATACACTACACTATACACTACACTATACACTACACACTACACTACACACACACTACACTATACACTACACTAGTACACTATACACTACACAATACACTACATACACACACTACACCACACACACCACACACACCACAGACACACTACAATCTACTAGCAGTATGTGACCCTGACTTCGCCTGACCCCTGACCCCACGCTAGCAGTAGGTGACCCTGACCTCGCCTGACCCCTGACCCCCCACTAGCAGTAGGTGATCCTGACCTCACCTGACCCCACACTAGCAGTAGGTGACCCTGACCCCCCGCTAGCAGTAGGTGACCCTGAGCTCTGACCCCTGACCCCAAGCTAGCAGTAGGTGACCCTGAGCTCGCCTGACCCCTGACCCCACGCTAGCAGTATGTGACCCTGACCCCTGACCCCACGCTAGCAGTAGGTGACCCTGACCCCACGCTAGCAGTATGTGACCCTGACCCCTGACCCCACGCTAGCAGTATGTGACCCTAACCCCTGACCCCTGACCCCACGCTAGCAGTATGTGACCCTGACCCCACGCTAGCAGTATGTGACCCTGACCCCTGACCCCTGACCCCACGCTAGCAGTATGTGACCCTGACCCCTGACCCCACGCTAGCAGTATGTGACCCTGACCCCTGACCCCACGCTAGCAGTAGGTGAGCCTGACCCCACGCTAGCAGTATGTGACCCTGACCCCTGACCCCACGCTAGCAGTATGTGACCCTAACCCCTGACCCCTGACCCCACGCTAGCAGTATGTGACCCTGACCCCACGCTAGCAGTATGTGACCCTGACCCCTGACCCCTGACCCCACGCTAGCAGTATGTGACCCTGACCCCTGACCCCACGCTAGCAGTATGTGACCCTGAGCTCCTGCCGTGCCGTCTGCGTCAGTCCGGCTGCTGCCTGGTCCTGGCACCACAGCAACTGGGAGAGGCCGTCCAGCAATGACGTCACCTGGGCGTCGCCTCCTGGGGGGTGAGGGGGAGAGTGAGTGAATGAATGGTGAGTGAGTGAGTGGTGAGTGAGTGTCTGAGTGAGTGGTGAGTGAGTGAGTGAGTGTCTGAGTGAGTGAGTGAGTGTCTGAGTGAGTGAGTGAGTGGTGAGTGAGTGAGTGTCTGAGTGAGTGAGTGAGTGGTGAGTGAGTGGTGAGTGTGTGAGTGTGTGTGTGAGTGGGAGAGGCCGTCCAGCAATGACGTCACCTGGGCGTCGCCTCCTGGGGGGTGAGGGGGAGAGTGAGTGAATGAATGGTGAGTGAGTGGTGAGTGAGTGTCTGAGTGAGTGAGTGAATGAGTGAGTGTGTGAGTGGGAGAGGCCGTCCAGCAATGACGTCACCTGGGCGTCGCCTCCTGGGGGGGGTGAGGGGGGGTGAGGGGGTGGGGGGGGGGTGAATGAATGAGTGTCTGAGTGAGTGAATGACTGAGTGAATGACTGAGTGAATGAGTGAGTGTGTGAGTGGGAGAGGCCGTCCAGCAATGACGTCACCTGGGCGTCGCCTCCTGGGGGGGAGTGAGGGGGGTGGGGGGGGTGAGAGAGTGAGTGAGTGAATGAGTGTCTGAGTGAGTGAGTGGTGAGTGAGTGAATGAGTGAGTGGTGAGTGTCTGAGTGAGTGAGTGAGTGGTGAGTGAGTGAGTGAGTGTCTGAGTGTCTGAGTGAGTGAGTGAGTGGTGAGAGAGTGAATGAATGAGTGTCTGAGTGAGTGAGTGGTGAGTGAGTGAATGAGTGTCTGAGTGAGTGGTGAGTGAGTGAGTGTCGAGTGTCTGAGTGAGTGAGTGAGTGGTGAGTGAGTGAGTGTCTGAGTGTCTGAGTGAGTGAGTGAGTGGTGAGAGAGTGAATGAATGAGTGTCTGAGTGAGTGAGTGGTGAGTGAGTGAATGAGTGTCTGAGTGAGTGGTGAGTGAGTGAGTGTCGAGTGTCTGAGTGAGTGAGTGAGTGGTGAGTGAGTGAGTGAGTGTCTGAGTGTCTGAGTGAGTGAGTGAGTGGTGAGAGAGTGAATGAATGAGTGTCTGAGTGAGTGAGTGGTGAGTGAGTGAATGAGTGTCTGAGTGAGTGGTGAGTGAGTGAGTGTCGAGTGTCTGAGTGAGTGAGTGAGTGGTGAGTGAGTGAGTGTCTGAGTGTCTGAGTGAGTGAGTGAGTGGTGAGAGAGTGAATGAATGAGTGTCTGAGTGAGTGAGTGGTGAGTGAGTGAATGAGTGTCTGAGTGAGTGGTGAGTGAGTGAGTGTCGAGTGTCTGAGTGAGTGAGTGAGTGGTGAGTGAGTGAGTGAGTGTCTGAGTGTCTGAGTGAGTGAGTGAGTGGTGAGAGAGTGAATGAATGAGTGTCTGAGTGAGTGAGTGGTGAGTGAGTGAATGAGTGTCTGAGTGAGTGGTGAGTGAGTGAGTGTCTGAGTGTCTGAGTGAGTGAGTGAGTGGTGAGTGAGTGAGTGAGTGTCTGAGTGAGTGAGTGAGTGAGTGGTGAGTGAGTGAGTGAGTGAATGAATGAATGTCTGAGTGAGTGGTGAGTGAGTGAGTGTCTGAGTGAGTGGTGAGTGAGTGTCTGAGTGAGTGGTGAGTGAGTGAATGAATGAATGTCTGAGTGAGTGAGTGGTGAGTGAGTGAGTGAATGAGTGTGTGAGTGAGTGGTGAGGGAGTGAGTGAATGAATGAGTGTCTGAGTGAGTGAGTGGTGAGTGAGTGAGTGGATGAATGAATGTCTGAGTGAGTGGTGAGTGAGTGTCTGAGTGAGTGGTGAGTGAGTGAGTGAATGAATGAGTGTCTGAGTGAGTGGTGAGTGAGTGAGTGTCTGAGTGAGTGGTGAGTGAGTGAGTGTCTGAGTGAGTGGTGAGTGAGTGAATGAATGTCTGAGTGAGTGAGTGGTGAGTGAGTGAGTGAGTGGTGAGTGAGTGAGTGAATGAATGAATGAATGTCTGAGTGAGTGAGTGGTGAGTGAGTGAGTGAATGAGTGTGTGAGTGAGTGGTGAGTGAGTGAGTGAATGAATGAGTGTCTGAGTGAGTGAGTGAGTGGTGAGTGAGTGAGTGAATGAATGAGTGTCTGAGTGAGTCGTGAGTGAGTGAGTGAATTAATGAGTGTCTGAGTGAGTGGTGAGTGAGTGAGTGAATGAGTGGTGAGTGGGTGAGTGGTGAGTGAGTGGTGAGTGAGTGAGTGGGTGAGTGAGTGGTGAGTGAGTGGTGAGTGAGTGAGTGTGTGAGTGAGTGGTGAGTGGTGTGTGAGTGAGTGAGAGAGTGGACGAGTGTGTGAGTGTGTGAGTGAGTGAATGAGTGAATGAATGTGTGAGTGAGTAGGTGAGTGGTGAGTGAGTGTGTGAGTGAGTGGTGAGTGAGCGAGTGAGTGAGTGGGAGAGTGAGAGAGTGAGTGTGTGAGTGAGTGAGTGGTGAGTGAGTGGTGAGTGGGTGAGTGAGTGTGTGAGTGAGTGAGTGAGTGGTGAGTGGTGAGTGGGTGAGTGAGTGGTGAATGAGTGAGTGTGTGAGTGAGTGGTGAGTGGGTGAGTGAGTGTGTGAGTGAGTGAGTGAGTGGTGAGTGAGTGGTGAGTGGGTGAGTGGTGAGTGAGTGAGTGTGTGAGTGAGTGGTGAGTGAGTGAGTGAGTGGTGAGTGGGTGAGTGTGTGAGTGAGTGGTGAGTGAGAGAGTGAGTGAGTGAGTGTGTGAGTGTGTGAGTGGTAAGTGAGAGAGTGAGTGAGTGTGTGAATGGTGAGTGAGAGAGTGAGTGAGTGTGTGAGTGAGTGAATGAATGAATGAGTGAATGAGTGAGTGAGTGTGTGAGTGGTGAGTGAGAGAGTGAGTGAGTGTGTGAGTGGTGAGTGAGAGAGTGAACGAGTGAGTGAGTGAGTGTGTGAGTGAGTGAGTGAATGAATGAGTGAATTAGTGAATGAATGAGTGGGTGTGTGAGTGAGTGTGTGAGTGGGTGAGTGAGTTAGTGAGTGAAGGAGTGAGTAAATGAGTGAATGAGTGAATGAATGAGTGAATGAATGCCTGAATGAGTGAATGAATGACCGAATGAGTGAGTGAATGAATGAGTGAATGAATGAGTGAATAAATGAGTGAATGAGTGAGTGAATGAGTGAATGAATGAGTGAATGAATGAGTGAATGCATGACCGAATGAGTGAATGAATGAATGAGTGAATGAATGAGTGAATGCATGAATGAGTGAATGAATGAGTGAATGCATGAATGAGTGAATGAATGAGTGATTGAATGAGTGAATGAGTGAGTGAATGAGTGAATGAATGATTGAGTGAATGAATGAGTGAATGAGTGAGTGAATAAGTGAATGAATGAATGAGTGATTGAATGAATGAGTGAGTGAATGAGTGAGTGAATAAGTGAATGAATGAATGAGTGAGTGACTGAATGAATGAGTGAGTGAATGAATGAGCGAATGAGTGAATGAATGAGTGAATGAATGACTGAGTGAGTGAGTGGTGAGTGAGTGAGTGAATGAGTGTGTGAGTGAGTGGTGAGTGAGTGAGTGAATGAATGAGTGTCTGAGTGAGTGAGTGAGTGGTGAGTGAGTGAGTGAATGAATGAGTGTCTGAGTGAGTCGTGAGTGAGTGAGTGAATTAATGAGTGTCTGAGTGAGTGGTGAGTGAGTGAGTGAATGAGTGGTGAGTGGGTGAGTGGTGAGTGAGTGGTGAGTGAGTGAGTGGGTGAGTGAGTGGTGAGTGAGTGGTGAGTGAGTGAGTGTGTGAGTGAGTGGTGAGTGGTGTGTGAGTGAGTGAGAGAGTGGACGAGTGTGTGAGTGTGTGAGTGAGTGAATGAGTGAATGAATGTGTGAGTGAGTAGGTGAGTGGTGAGTGAGTGTGTGAGTGAGTGGTGAGTGAGCGAGTGAGTGAGTGGGAGAGTGAGAGAGTGAGTGTGTGAGTGAGTGAGTGGTGAGTGAGTGGTGAGTGGGTGAGTGAGTGTGTGAGTGAGTGAGTGGTGAGTGGTGAGTGGGTGAGTGAGTGGTGAGTGAGTGAGTGGTGAGTGAGTGGTGAGTGGGTGAGTGAGTGGTGAATGAGTGAGTGTGTGAGTGAGTGGTGAGTGGGTGAGTGAGTGTGTGAGTGAGTGAGTGGTGAGTGAGTGGT